TTTAGTTGGTTATTCGAATGACAGGGATGGTTTTACGATATGGATTCCATCTGAAAGAAGAATCGTATCGAGCCACGACGTACGATTTAAACCAGAGGTTATATGCAATTGGCGAATTGTTGAAGTTAAAGCCAAATTAGTGAACCAACATCAGTCGAAATGTTTTAGTATGAATGAAAACTCCTAAGAAGTAAAAAGTGGTATCGGTGAAATTGTAGAATCTGAGAATATAAAAAGTGTAGAAGAAAGTGTAAGTGAAAATCAAGAAGTGAATAGACAAGAAAAAAATAGTGATAGTGTTCAAGAATCTAAGCGTTACCCTACACGTGTTAGAAATAAACCAAAATTGTATAATGATTTTTTTAGATAAAGATCTGGAAAATGTACCTGATCTTGCCATGTTTACTTTGTCAAATTAATTTGAGCCTACAAGTCTTTCTGAGGCACTGTCAAGTAGTCACAGCCATGAATGGAAATTAGCTATTCAGAATGAATTGACAGCTCTCAGAATGAATAATACTTGTGAATTGGTTGATAAACCGGCAAATACAAATATTGTTCAGAATAAATGGGTGTAAAATAAAGAAAAATGAAAAGGGTGAAATAGTAAGGTACAGGACAAGATTGGTGGCAAAGGGTTTTACACAGAAGTATGGGGTTGACTATTCAGAAACGTATTCTCCAGTCATTCGTTTTAGTAATTTTAGGCTTTTGTTAGCGATGGCTATTGAATTAAATCTAGATACAGTTCATTTAGATGTGGAGACTGCATTCCTGAATGGTGAGATTGATGAAACCATATAATATATATATATATATATATATATATATATATATATATATATATATATATTATATATATATATATATATATATATATATATATACAGGGTGGTGAATCGTCAAACGGGCCATAGGAAACTCAATGAGAAATTCTAAATTGTTGAATTCCTGGTTCCCTAATTATTTTGCACCAAAAGTCATGGGAAACTATTTGTAGAGGACTCAAATATGTATAGAAAACAATTGTTAAAATTGTTTTACAACTTAAACGTATTCCAAAATTTTTCAGGCCACCCCTAAAAGTCAGGCCAGACGCCGTGAAAAGAATGTGTATTACGTGGTGCGTTTTGTCATATTGACGTTTCTAATATTTGACAATATTTAAATCAACTATATTATATTTATCTATGATTTAAATGGCCAAAATTTTGTGATTTATTAATTAAAAGAAAAATTAAGTTGATTAAAAAATGTACTCAGTTAAGGAGAAAAGAGCAATAATAAAAATGTTTTATTCATGTTTTATTATAACATTTGTTATAGTTTTATATTTAGAAATTATCGTATATTATTATTAGGAATAAAAATCAGAGTAACAGTATATTGGAATTCATTGAATTGTTGTATAACATGGAATTAAATTTTAGTGTATTAGAATATCTTACGTTAAATAAAGATCCGGTAGTGACAGGAAAAGGTTCGCGCTATTGCCTGAATACAACATTATGCGATTTTTCGTCAACTGAGTACATTTCATTATGATCGATTTGTAAACAATATAATTTATTGTTCACAAATTAATATTGTTCGTATAATATATTCTTGTATTACGTGTGGCCTAACTTTTAGGGGTGGTCTGAAGAATCTATTATATTTTTGCAAAATTTTGAAGTACATTTGATTCGTAGAACGTTTTTAACATTTGTTTTTAATTTAGAATTTAGTCCTCTACAAATAGTTTTTTATGACTTTTGATCTAAAATAATTAGGGAAGCAGCAATTCAACAATTTAAAATTTCCCATTGAGTTTCCTATGGCCCGTTTGACGATTCACCACCCGGTATATATATATATATATATATATATATATATATATATATATATATATATATATATATATATATATATATATATGTGTGTGTGTGTGTGTGTGTGTGTGTTTGTTTTGAGGTTTCCGCGGGAGCTATATGTGCTGTCACTATTTTTCCGGGTTTGACTCCGCGTTGTAAAATGCTGGTTTTCTTGAAAACCATTGTTTTGGCGACGTTTCGGCAAGGTCTCACTTGCCATTCTCAAGCCTGATGGATCTACTTCTCGTCGTTACTCGATTAGTACTTAGTACTCGAATGTTTGTATGAATGTCCTTATCAAGAATTGATTGGTTCAATGATGTATTTAGCGGTTTGTTCAAGGCCTGATGTTCAAGGCCTGACATAGCTTTTTCTGTCACTTATCTTAGTCAGTTTAATAAGATTCATACGAAAGAACATTGGTGAGCAGCCAAACGTGTTTTGAGATACCTTAAAGGTACAATAACTGTAGGAATTAATTACAGCAAGTCAAATGTTAGTTTAAGTGGGTTTGTTGACTCAGATTGGGCCAATAATAGTTCAGATAGAAAGTCATTTTATGGATTTATTTTTTCATTGGTTGGTGGTCCTATCTCATGGGAATGTCAAAAGCAAAGAACTTTGCCTTTAAGTTCAACTGAAGCTGAATATCTTGGCATAACTGAAGCAGCAAAAGAATCGTTATACTTAACATATTTATGTAAAGATATATTTGAAAAGAATGTGAATTGTAAGTTTTTGTTTGAAGGTTAGGTATATATGAAATCCAGCTGAAGACGAAAGAGAGGAGAATAACTACTGAACCCTGCGGAACACCCTGCGACAAACTGATGCTGGTATATTTTTCTCTTATGGACCTGTCAGTAAAGTATCTGTCAATTACGTTGACCAGGTACTCACTAACGCCCAATTCTCTCAGCCTGGACATGATTTTTCCCGTGATGCCGTATTAAAGGCATTTTTGACGTCGACCAGGATGAGAGCCACTTGCGAGGATCACAATCAGCAGAAATCCAGCTGAAGACGAAAGAGAGGAGAATAACATCTTAACAGCAGAAAAAGTCATCAAAGCAATAAAAAAATTGAAAAGATAAAGCTCCTAGAACAGATGGCATGCCTTCTGAGCTTTTAAAACATGGCTCAAAAAATCCTAAATAATTGATATGTAGGCTGGTAGAACTGATTTGAAAGCAGGTAAAACTACCAGAAGACTGGAACGTAAGGATAATCGTAACTATTCATCAGAACAGAGATCAAAGAATCGGAAAACTACAAAGGAATTACCCTCCTAAACGTAACCTATAAAATATTGAGGGCTACATTATTTACAATAGACTATATCGTGAAAACATAATAGTCCAATACCAGTGGTAGTTTTGAAAAGAAAAATTGTTATGAACTTACCAATATGATCACATAACAGCAACAGATAAAAATATAGCAGAAAAAGGACAGATAAAACATTAGGAAATTTTAAAGAAGTGAATAAATAAGAGATCCAAAAAGACTATACCTAGGTTATCTGTGACGAAAGATTATCTAAAATAACTGTAGAATGAAGGAGCTAAGATCAAAATTATCATCAGGAAGAACAAACATCTCAAAAATGAGAAACTAGCAGAGCGTACTGACAGTTGAATGAAATTATTAAGCACATAGAGTAACAGAGAGGAGACCGAGAAAAACGAAAAGATATAGACACGTGTCCCAGAAAATATGGATATATTATGATATTCTAACTACAACAGAAAAACAATTGATACGCAAAACACATGACACATCAGTGGAGAAATTTGGAGAGATATACCTATCTATCTTCAAGATAAAATTTGAGTTGAAAAAAAAACATTTCTTTATTTATAATAGATTAGGGATACTAAGTTTTACCAACATACAACTCAATGGAATAATCCTACTAAAACCAATATCGATTGTAATCGTTACAGCCTATTTAATCAAATTAACAAATAAATTTTTATTCTTATTTTTTTTATTCCACTACTAAGACTACAATTTATTTTGAAGATTACTATATAACTGCAAATTTAAAATATAGACTTTAGATGTCGCCACTAACACTCTTGAAATAAAACTTAAGTGCGAATATCATCAGTGGACACAGGTTTTAAATTGTTATATGCACAAATTATAGTGCGTAGATACATCTTACATGCATGTTAAAGCATAGAATAAGAAACAATGATTTCTTGTTCTGTGGTGTAGGTGGCCATTCTGATGTAAGGTGTCAAATACAAGACCTACGTGACTACAAGCACGGTGTTGGAATTGGAAAATACTAAAATTCGATTTAATGTCAGATTTTTCATAGTAGTACCTGTTTTGTTTTTTCAGTGCTGTCACTCTTAAATTTATATCAATAATTTAACATAATATGTTTACCTGATTTTTTTTAATAATTAATATATTTAGTTGGACAGAACAAAAAGTGCTAATAATAATTACATCAATTTTAAAGTGTCCCTTTTTTTATAAAACAGGCTTATGTAATATATGTAATATATTTGACATAATTAGCTGTCGGTTAATCTAAAATAAAAATTCACTCTGTAAAACTAAAATGATTGCACGCCAATGTTCATCAAAGCAGTAGGTACTCGCTATGAATAATGATACAATCGAAGATGTTTAAAATCGACTAAGGAGTTATCGATCATAATTTAGTTTGGTAATGAAATGACTGAAACCTAACAGATCGTAACACAAATAATTATGTTTTACATTCAGTTTTATATAATAATTATTGCACAAGAACATGAAAACTAATAACATACAACTCCATTCTCCATATACAATATTAATAAAGCAATAGTTACAAATATTACAAAATCGATCTTCAGGTCTACAAAAAAGACAAAGATCCTTTTAAAAATCTCCAGATTATAGAAATAGTGTTGCTATTGTAACAATATAGTTTTAAATATATATTTAAACTATTGTATTAAATTATCATAAATTGATTTAGATGTCTTAATAAATATTTGTTTAAATAAAGATTCTACCATATTATACTGAAAAAATCAACTTGTATCGATTTTTTGAATAATCCAGCAATCGATTGTTTTCCGTTCGAGTAATTCGAGGATTGAGATTGACTGCTATTGGTACATGATTTGCCCGGTTCTAAGCATGGCGGTAAGCGTGGATAATAACTATTTTTGTGCTGTTTATCATCTGTGGTAATCTTTTTGTTAAGAATATCGTGTTATTCGTAATATTTAACTTTTTGGTGGAAATAGTGTTTGAATAATGTGAAATACGTAATTTCGCAATTTAAAACATCAAAGAAAACAAGGGACGTCTTTTGATAGTGCAAACTATGGCGTCGAATGAAGAAGGTGGTAATGATGATGAAAATAAAGATTATTTGGAAAAACAATCCTCCTGTGAATCAGTACTGGAGTCTTCTAAGTGCCCAAAGTGTATATCATCACAAAATAAGTGTTCGTGTAGTGTGACTTCCCAAAACTTTGAAGATGACAATCTAAATAGCCTGAACAGTAAGTAATATTTGTAAACACAAGCTAATATTCATATTTCCCACCCAAATTATTCCCACTTTTTCAATTGAACATGTAACATTACTATGTTCGTTACTTTTATAATGAATTATAGTTAAATGTAGTGAAATAAGCAATTTATTTTTCTACTTAGGGTTGGGATTTTTGAGTTTACCCTTCTGTAACTAACAAACATCAAAACTACTTTGTTTAAAATGTTTTGATAGTTTCACTGTATTAGTTTTCAATTAATTCTGATATCATGTATCAGAAATCATAATTTTTTGGATATTACTTTTTAAGAAAACAAGTATTTATCCATTATGGGGATGGAGTTTACAAGGTAGTGTAGTGTGGATGATTTTATATCATTTAACAGTCATCTATTAACAACTTATTGTATACCCTGCTGATGACAACCTTTAGTTTTCTTTGTTTATATAATCAATTCCATTATTAGTATTGTGAGTCTTCTTGTTTCTAGATTACAGTGATATAGGGATATCATTTTACTTGTTTTATTTTATCATACATATCCCACTTTTGTAGATATGTTCTCTTTTCAACACTTTTTATTTCTGGAATCTTCCCTTAATTATTATATCGTCGGTATACTGCGAAAACCAGGTAAATGACAAATTTTAAAATATTGAGTTAAGTATACCAAAATTCTCAGCTTTTTCCGCTCTACATACAGGTAAAACCCTATAAATGATATGACTTACCATTCAGTAGATAATTGTGGAATAAACAAATAAGTTACACCTAACCAACTTTTCATTTTCAAATAAAACAATATAACGCTACTTATTTCCATAAAATTAAAGTTCTGTTGCATGTAAAACAAAGTAAGTCCACATATATTATTATGCCAGACAACAATATATTTCTACTACTGCATACCATATTCAGTAAAAAGGTGATAAGTGTCTTTAATACATTTTACATGTATGATTTATTAAAATTTTTCATATTGACTAGTAAAAATCTTTAAGTGCACTTACTTCATTCTACCTGAAAACGAATTGAGTTAAAATTTAGAAATGATTACTAGGCTAAAACCATAAGTAATGGTGTTTATGATGATATTATCTGCTAATAAATTAAGCTAATAAAATAAGATTATGCTAAAATTAAGCAGACTATTAAGTAAAATTGCTTGTCTTCTATATTTGTGACTAGAAAGAAAGTTTTGAAACACTTTGTTAATAGATATTAATTAGTTACTTGTTGTGCAATATCTTGTGTTCTTTAGATTCCTTTGAAACTGAAGACAGCAGTTCAATTTTTAATGATTCTCAGAACAATATAGTCTCAATGATGGAATCCATTTTTGATAGTGACTTTTCATATGTGGACCACACATATCATCATCAGTGGTGCTACAGCTCTAGGACCACACATATCAGCCAAGCAAAAAGGGATCAGTCTCTCTAGTAAGTCTATATGAATTACAAACAGTTGACTTTGATAGCCTAAAGTCAGAAAGAAAATACTGAAAAAGGTGCACGCACGAACAATTCATTGTACTGAAATATCTTGGATATTAAATCTACTTCTAGACAAAGTATGGAAAGAGGTACATCCACTAAAACGTTGGAGAAAAGCTAACTCCAAAGATTGAATAATAAATATTGCAAAAAGGAGGCCTGTTGAGGGTTTGCCTTATGAGATAAAAAAAAAAGAATAGAACAGCAAATTTGCTTAAACCAGTTAATTGTTCCGAGTGCTTTTACAAATGTGCTGGTTATTTCAACGAAGATTACAGACAAAGACTATGTAGTGCTAATTTTCTTTGAATGTCAAGACATACAGGTATGTGAGAAATGTTTTTGTAAGACACTTTGTATATCAATGTCGTTAATACAAGATGTTGTAAGAAAAACTAATATTTTAGGCTGTTATGAAAACAGACAAGCATACACCGCCAAATAAAACAAGCAGTAAAACCTGAAAAATCGTGAAGGCTCATATTGAGTCTTTTCCAACTATGAGCCCTTATTATATTCGCCAAAGTTAAAAGCGTAGATATTTGGACAAAAATTGAAGTATAAGAAAAATTTAGCATCTTTATATAACTGACTGAGCAGAAGAAACTCGAAGGTGTTAGTGAAATTACATATTGAAGAATATTTTCTAACGACTATAATTTAAGCTTTTTTGTTCCTAAAAAAAGATCAATGTTTAGTTTGTAATAAATATGATATGGCTAATCCAACTGACAAATCGGATTTAGAAGACATTTACAGAGAACATACGAAAAGAAAAGAAGTATGTAATCTTCAAAAACAAAATGATAAGAAAAGATCTAATGAACGACGGGATTTTGTTTCAATTACACTGATCTACAGGCCTTACTACAGATTCCAAGTGGATTGACTGGACAACTATATTATTCTCAAAAATTATGCGTGTCTATAATTTGTGTGCATATGACCTTACCATAATTGTACCTATAATTACCAAAAGCAGTTTACTGTTTTTCCTGGTCAGAAATTAACAGTTAATGGGCTGTTCAAAACATAGACCATTTAAATAATATTGAACACAAATTTATAGAGTCTGTACATTCCTATATGGAAGCTAACTCTACGCATAGTAGTATCAAAACATCTAAAAAACACAGATCTATCCATGGGATGCCAGGTTACTTGATTGTTTTTCAAAATGCAAGAGGAACTAAAAATATCGAGGTTGATGATAAAAAAGTATGTATAGAACCATACAAATGTAAAGAATTTAAATACTACGACTTTTATGATTTAAAAAATTTGTTACACACTATTATTAAAAACCGGACACAAGACCAAAACGGAGAAAAAAAATTGTGGTTGAAGGTAAAAAGAATGAGATTCGTGAAAGGAGAGACGAAAACAATCTATTTTAATTATGACATGTCAACAAGCTTCAATTATTTCCTTACTGATACTGCATGTCAGTCAACAAGAAAAAAACATGCTAAGTTATCAACTAATACAGGCAATCTTCAAGAACTTAAGTAACTTTATGATGCATGTTTGCCAATTAGCATAGCAAAAAAGAGATTTGGTACAGCATATTGCCAGAGTCAGGTTCCAGTGACGAATATTATATTCAAAATAAATTAGTTTTTTTTTATAAAACAGCCTATCATTCATATAAGTAATAACTATAAGTACAAACAGCTGTTAATAAAATTTTCAGGGAAAACCAGTTAAATGTCATAAATATCAACCAATACTTTAAAATATTGCTATTACCTAGTAAAAGCCTCATATCTCAATCACAGAACTCGAAAATATTATACTTGGTTTATTATATTTATGTTATTTAAAGATTATCTGATTTATTTAGATTTACAGGTAAAACCATAGCATTTCCAACTTAAATGTAGGATTAGTCAGATAGGTGTTTGAACTTTTTCAAATTAATGATAGAACATCATTTTAGATATATGCATCTTTCACTAGAATACCTAATATCAAAAACAAGCTGTCTGCTTAATTCACAATAAAAAACTAAACTTTAAAAACGTTTTTTCTCGATTTCAGTATTTCGACATTTACCTGGTTTTCGCAGTATACCAACGATATGTACTGGTTTCAATATGTTCCCAAATTTCAACATTTATTTCTATTATAGTTTTTAGTGTTGATAGTTTTGTTTTTATTGTGATATGCTTACATCAAGGAAATAACTAGGAAACTAATTTTTGGTAGCTTTTTGGCAGATAATAATTGACTGTAATGTATACAAAGGTATCATGCACAGACATGGACTCACAAGCTCTTATCAACTAAACATAGTTTTATAATTTGACATCAGACATTATTTGCCTTTATTGCTTAATTACCTTCAATAACCAAGTAGCTTTATGTTTCTAAAACAAAATATTTCCACCTTTCTTATCTTTGGATTCTCTTAATTTTCATTCCATAGATTCTAATATTCAAAGCTGGCACCATTATATTTGTTTATTAAATGCAACATATGATTTATAATATATTTACTTACAATTAAAATAAGTAAAATTTTTACATGTATTTTGCATATTGCCTGTGGGACAGTAATCTACACAAATTGAAAAACGATTCTCATTAACAAGTCCTAGTATTTGACAATTTGTTCATAAACAGTAGTTATTTTTGTGAAAAGCAATCTGAAGTAAATTTTTACATGTATTTTGCATATTGCCTGTGGGACAGTAATCTACACAAATTGAAAAACGATTCTCATTAACAAGTCCAAGTATTTGACAATTTGTTCATAAACAGTAGTTATTTTTGTGAAAAGCAATCTGAAGTAACTATTTCTTCAAGAAGAATTAAATAAAGGATGCCAAAGAACTGCATCTATAAAATACTTTGGGAATGTAACAATTTTTATGTTAGAGAAACTTCAAGACCACTAAGTGTCAGGATAAACAAGCATAAATCATAATAATATATCAAAAACAGAAAATTCAACATATCCCAGATATGCAAATATGCCTCAGACAATGAACACAGAATACAATAAAAGAGATGCATCAATAGTCATAAATAAACATACAGAAAAGGTGAAAAGCCAAAGCAGGATTTATCTGACTTAATGAAGAAAAATATGTAGCGAACCAATCAACAGAATGTAGATGAATCAATAAATTTTTTTAGTGAGCCTACTTACAAGCGTGTGGCATAAAAGTATCAAAAGTCATTTTGGTTAAAGTACAGGGAACATTCTGATTAAGTTAACTAGAAATAAACTTCAGTAAAACAAAAATTTGCGTTTGTGGTATTGCCATCTCCTTATTATGTAATGTTTTTTGCCTCAAATATGCTTTGCAACATTTTCATTATATTATTCTATGTAATCTCATATTTTTATATTTTTTTTTATTTATATAAAACTTGAACAAATGAATATTTGTTCCTTTCAATATTAATTGCAGTTAGTAATTGGAAAAAAAATTGTAATTGCTCTTTGGTAGATTAGCCGATAAATTTGGCAATAATCTCAAAACCTTCAAGACACTGGAGTTG